CATGGTCAAAAGGAATATTCGATTACCGCCGATTCTCATTATCCCACGCGCACAAATTGGATTGCGCCATTATACCAATATAACGGAACCGAATTATTTAATCAATTCTACTACGAGTGATCGACAATGGGATAAATGAAATAAAGCATCACTGAGACAAGATGTATGAAATTGCGAATAATTCAAATAAGGCCCGACGCAATTTCAAAGTCGCGATAAATCATACTTAGCTTTGTTCTGCGGACAGGTTTGATTTACTGAGGTATTTACAGTGCGGTAACTCGAAAATTGTGATTTACACGTGGTTTCCCTAGCGCTGGCAGACGCATAAAACACTATAACGCACGTGGCCTCTTCCTCAATTCCTCGGCTAATACTGATTAATTATCGCGTCGAGAAATCGATGCCAGAATAAAGTGTGAAATTATTAACATTAATCCTTTCTCAACTAGATTAAAACATTTAGCCCCAAAATGGAACGCATACTGAAAAAGTTCATATATATTTCAGTAATTTTATAATTAATATTATATATATATATATATATAATTTTTTTCAAAGTAATAAACTAATAGCACGGCAGAATACTCGGTTGATGAGACTACACCAATTGATAAGACCGAAATCGATACGGTGCGGCGAAGATTATAAGGTCGATAGAAAACTATTGTCGAGGGACGCGTCTTTTCAGCTTGAGAGCACTCTTTACTCGATGTACGTTCGTGGAAAAGAAACGAGGCCGATTGTTCGTTGCGGATGACCGGCACCGACCTCTGCAACAGTCAAAGATGTTGAAAACGCAATAGAATCGGAGCTCTCTTTTTCGTTATCGTTTCATTCGATCGAGTGTTCGCACGCGTATTCGTCTTTCGTATCACGTTGATAGCAAGCTTGCGTGCGCTGCCTGAGAATGCCGGGGCTATTGCGAGTCGAGCAAGTTGACAAAATTGGTGGGTTGATTGGTATACGCAGACAGTGACATTGGTCGGTGTGATGCATCAAAATTGATCACAATAGAGAATGTATATAGATGAACAGGATAGTGAATAGCTCATTGAAAAATTACGCGAGTTTGATAAGAGAATTGAACAGTATAAATTATTGAATCAAAATTAATTTCATTATAAAAATTAAAAAATATTATGACATACATAAAATGTACTTATTTTGAATTCTCTTCAAGAATTATTTTGAAAAAATAATTCTTGAAGAAGAAGGCGAAAAAATGATGTAGAATCGTATAAGTAATGAAGCGATCGATTGATACAGATGTCTTTATTATACTAGCAATAACGGAGTTATTTTCTTAAGCATCATTCATTCAATGCGACACGCTGGATGTCTTCGTTATTACATGCATAAGCAATTAAAAAGAGATATCCGTGTCCTCATCGATATGCATAATAAGCAAAAGGGGTCAGTCAACTCTCGACAGTAATTGGAGCGCGAAGAGTTAAGTTGCATTTCCAGGCATCGAACAAGAATCCCATGAGCGCGTGGCATATCGTAATCGATGAAATCTCGATAGGTGGCCCTCGGTTTGCGTCGTCTTTTATCCGCTCATTATGAGCTCTCGTGATGTTACAAAGGATTTCGCCTCCTTACGTAACAATGTCCTGCGCTCGTTTCTTGGATTTTAAAAAGGTCTCCGACCGAGAGCACTTTGCTCCAGCTCGTTGAAGGCTTTGATCTTGAATTAATGTAAGTCAACCGGTGAGCACAGCGATAATCGTTCCATCTATATCGAATCGATTCCATCGCTCCAGATGTTCATTGCAATGACAGAAAGAAATTCTCTTCAGGCATTTGTTCTTTTCGCTTCCGAGGAGTACCGTAAGAACCTACCACCGGAGAATCCGTCTTCTCTCTTTATCTCTTTTCCCTTTTTTTCCGGCGGATCATATTAAGCTTCCCCAAAGTGTGCCTTTCTCGATAATAGGACGAGTTATTTATTTTAATTTAACTCCAAAGATGAACGAACAAGAAGAGTTTCTCGTTTAACCGCTTGTGATTGTATTCCCTTCAATAGACATTTAAGCATTGAATTTAATTAAGCTCTAGCCAAGTACAGCTTCCTGTGCGGTTTCGATTCGACTCCTGCAGATTTCCAATACACTGTCAGGTCAAATCGTAACCATCGATGAGTTTCCGGCGAACGCTGACAGTAAACACGATTTAGAAATCAAATATCCATCCGCGACTCTGATAGCGGGTTAAGTTAATCGGTAAAATAAACACAAGTGATATCGATATTGCCGATGTTGAGATACGCTTGGCATGGAAATGAGGTTTCTCGAGGATGAGAACACGGTACGTGTGTGATTTCGCAATGAACGAATGTAAAAACAGAAATGAAAGAAAAACAACTCTGAGAGAGGTATTTCATTTATAGATTATCGAATGAAAACCTAACTATCTAAATTAGCCTAAAATTAAGATCAACTTTTTTTTCTTAACTGTAAGAAAAAAAATTTGATCTAAAGTACAGAGAATATTGTGAGAAGAACGTGAACGTTGCAGGCTGTTTGTACATCTACAGATTAATAACATCATCTCGATGCTGTCCAGAAATTTTTGGAGAGCACTCGCGAGAGATCGTTAGCGCACTCGCGAGTGCCGGGCGATGTCTAGAAACGCCGCGTCCAAGTTTCGAGGCAAACGCCACACACCTCTCGAGCAGAATTGATTTCGAACTGGGTTACGCGGCATACATATGAATGAATCTGCGCCTCTTTTTGAACGTCGAACTCTACGGTGCTTGGCGATTCATAGATTAAGTAAAGCACGGGCCGTAGAACACGTCCATACCAGGACCCCGCACCTCGACGCATTCCTCTCCTACGTCGAGGCGGACGTACACTTCACCCAATAAATCTGGCTCCGGCGCTGTATGATCCTCGGTGAGTTTCACACAAGAACGATAAATCCAAACGTCGCATTCGAAAGTCGGTCGATTCTGATACCGAGTACGTTCCCTCCCTTTCTTGCTACCGCAACTAAGCAGCTGCATCGCTGTATAAACTGACGCGCATTACCAATTCAATTGTTACAAAGTATTATGTCTCAACGTTTCTTAAACGTCTTTCGCTTTTTACAAGATAGAGAAAATGCGATTGAACATTTAAAGTATCTCTCAAATTAGTTAATGGATCCTAAACATTATCATATTAAACGTTCAAACTAATCTAAGCTCTATTAATTAGGTAAATAATTTCTCTCGTACTTTCAATCCTTACTAAAATAACATTAGAAATCAAATATCCATCTGTGACATTGATAGCGATTCCTGTCTAATTTATTAATAAATACGTTTACAAAAATGTTTAGAAATTATATAAGATAATTTTTAAAATATGTTTTATGTAGATTTTAAATTTGTATTGTAATAAATTATAACGGATAATTAATCTTTAATATTTCAGCAATAAAATAACGAATTGACATATACGCGCGTGCGATAAAATTATACGAGCCAATGTTAACTCTTTCATATGTCTCGGTAACTATGAATTGGTAGGAAACCATCGTGAATAATCCAAGCGATCTAATCTCTCCCATGAGGCGCGAGCAAAAAGAGACGACTACGTGAGTTATGGCCAGGCCAATCTTTCCCTCGCTTACCCCTGAGTTATATCTAATCCTTAGCGATGAATTCGTCTGCCGTGTCATATCGTCCCCAGCATATATGTGATGTCCGCTTAATGCATGTACCGAACGGTATAAAATATTTCCCATTAGTGCTTAACGAGACTATACTTGATGATGAATGTGTTTCAAGAGAAACTTCTACAATACAGCAACACAATCGAAACGCTATCGAAATGATGACATGATAAAACAAACGGAATTCATCCCATTAGTTTTCGAGTACATGAGAATTACGTAGTTATGCTTTTACGTGTTTCTGCCCGCTCGTGGAAAAGCCAGCTGAGACATGAAATCAATCCGAATTTTATCGGCGCTCATAATATGCTCTATAATCCTATTTACCTTGCGCAAAGCTCCGTTTGCAGCTGCCCTAATTGCATAGCCGCCACAATGGCCAAACATTATATATATATATATATATATATATATATATATATTTACGTATACATATATACCAAAGGCACCTGCATACTTCGTTCAATGGCATTGTCGAGAGATCACGGTGTCGCGCTGGTGCCCGAGTGCACTTCCGGTGGTAACCTCCGCAGTTTGCCCGGGACAGGTGACGCTCTATTGTGTCGATAAAATATTGACACTCAATATTTCACTTCACTCACTCTGCAGGCTAGGCCAGAGAAAACGTAGAATCCGCTGTGTTTACAAAGGTATCGACCTTTTTCTTCGTCGTCCCTAATCTACTCTCGCGAACATGTTACTTTTAGCTTCCTCTGCTATTAGCGAGATCTTATCGCGAGGAAAAAGAAGAGAGGCCCCTATATCCAACATCCCGCATCGCTGGATTTAACTATACGCCCGTAACTAGCCGGATTTAATTTTCCGATTCGTAATGTCGAATTGGCTTTGTTCGCTACTTTTGACTTACGCGACAAAAGCGCAAACCGGATTCCATAGCTATTTAATTTGGTATTTCTGTTATCTTTCCAGAATTTCTTAACGTATTTTTTTAATATAAAAATTTCTTTTCTCGGGAAAGCTATTAATTATAATGTAATAAGATTGCGATTTTCAAATAATAACAAAAATTTATTGTATTTTAGAAATTGAATATTTCATAAAAAGTAAGATTGCTTTCTCTGGATCCAATATCTATAATATTTCATCACTCGTTCCCTAAAATTTCTCTCTGAATTAACGCATCATTTTAGAGCTTATATCTTATGAGTATAATATTACGCTATTGTAATGCTATATTATTATTGTTATTATAACGTTAATTTATACATAATCTAAGAAAATTGTATCAAAACGCTCTTAATATAAATAAATAAAAGAGATTCCGACGAATAATACGGATTCTCTCCTTGGCGAATATATGCGTTCGTCTCACTCACCGTTTTGTTCCCCAAATTTTTGACACGGCAGTTGAGGTACGTGGTCTTTCCCAGCAGGGCGGTCACGTTTTTCGAGGCCGATTTGTCGAAATACGGCCCCGATCGTGTGGCCTCTTCCAGAACGTTCTGGTTGTATGTGTCGCCGTTCTTGCTGCTGCCGCCGTATGGCATGTTGTGGCAGTGCACTTCTGAAACACGAGAAACCGAAAGAAACGTTGTGTAAATGCGGCAATTTCAATGCTGAACGGGAGAGGACATTCGTTCGCGGCGACGTATCTTAAAGCACTATTCTTTGTTCCTGCGATTGTTCTTGCATGCTGGATATCGAGAAGCGAAACGTAAGAAGCGAATCTCCTTGCACACGATACCGACTGCAGTCGTCGTGCAGTATCATTCAGAAAACAATGTTGCATGTTCTCTGATAAACGGAGAAAAAGTTCAAAAGTTGAAAATTTAAAAAAATTACTTTCGTAGCGAATGAAAATCAGAATGCATAGTCAATTTTTTTTCACAAAATTATAGATTTTATGAAAACGTATTTTATTATCTGAAGTGAAATACCTTTCTTAACGAATTCAAAACAAATTCTTTCTGAAAAAGTTATACCTATACCTAATGGCAGGGGAAAATATTAAAATGAAATAATGAATAACAGATGTTATAATGAAAGCAAATATATATAATGTTTATTCGTTTGCAATATGCAATAAAAACACTATATACATCATAGAATATAATTATGATAATAATAATAACAGCAATAATTATAACAATAATAGCAATATTACCATTGCTTGCATGAGTAGTTACCATATTATGCTAAACTATTAATTATGCTCGTTAGAAAGCGGGGTTTGCAATGCGTAATGGTTTCTCATTAAAGAGCAAGAGTGCGGGAATGCGCAAATACGCAAGTAGTTAATGAAAAAGGCCGGGGGATCCGAGATTTTAATTAAACGCGCGCAGCCGTTGATAAATAAAATTTGACTGACATAAAGGGAACAATCCACTTATGGTCTTGGATGTGCAAATTACATGACAAATTGCGAAAAGAAAGCTGAAATCATAATTGGCGGAATGTAACGAGTGCGCTAGCTTGTTGTTACACAAGTAGCGAGGTCATTAACTGTATTGCTTTTTACTGCTTGACATAGGTAACCTACCGCATCAACGATTCAGCTTTCCTGTTTTCCCCTCTTTACGCTCCCGCCCCCCCTTCTCTCTCTCTCTCTCTCTCTCTCTATCAGAAACAGAAAATAAGAAAATCTCCTTGTCATCATTTGTACCGTAAAGATGTTTTCATTGTAACGTCACGATAATAGCGCACAACGGACAAAGGAAAATGGCACGTGCATCGTGTAATGCACTTCTTCTGACAGAAGCTGACTTGCCTTATTCGATTAAACTTTGCTAAATGTATCGATAATAAATGAGTTGTTGAATAGAACAGCAATGCAAGTATATTTTCGTCGCTTCGAAGAACACTGTTTGGAAAAATTTTGTCTAACATAAAATATCATTATCTTATTACAGTTTATAAATAGGAAAATATATAAAATTTTACGTCATGTAGATGTACGAAATAATTCAAGAGAAAGTTACATCAAGCTTATATTTTGACTACATCACTTATTCCTATATCACTTATTTAATCAAATGCTAGCAAATGTTTGCAAATGTATTAATATGAGACAGAAAATAAAAAAAAAGAGTGCAGAGAAAATCGATCGATTAATGGCGCAAATATTTATACTTATCTGAGATAAATCGAGTTAAGTGTTTTGAACTGTAAGTAAGCTGGCAATAAACTTCTCGAAGCAAAGTATCATCGTCGCGGACACCCCGGGGAGTTACGAGAATTGTTTATCGGTTCAGCAACTTCCGCGTTGAATCGATGACAAGGAAATAATTTTCTCAAGAAAATATCATCTAATTTTCGCAAGTTTAAGAACTTGCTTATTTCGACAAACCACATTCACGAGTGTCCACGCAGAAACAAATTAATCACAATGATTCGCGCAACGTGAATATTCTATGTTGGAGATAGACGAGGTAGAATTTGTCGGAATTAAAAACGTAATTTGCAATTACCTTGCTCGCCCATGCGTGCGCAGGATGAACCCGGTCGTTTCCCATCGCCGTTCCAAATTTGTCAAACTCGTTCAAACAGGCTTTAAACGAACCGAGGCGTTCGAAAAGTAGCTAACGCTATATGAATTATTACGCTTTTGTGCGAGCGCAGTTTATTCATCTCAGCTGACGTGATCGAGAGCACGGATATAATTGGCTGGCTGTGTCGCTACTATGATCCCGACAGGCCAACTGCTACCGTCGACCGGCTCGACCTGGCTCGTTTCCACCGGGCCTCGCTATCATACGCTAGTTACGCTCTATTGCCAGGAACTCGGCGAGTATATAATCGAATTTCGTCGCTCTTGATTAGGCCGTGATTACGCGAGGAGACGCGCTCGCGGCTGATGCGGCAAATATTGAATCTCGGCGCGGCGCAGCCGACGCGCATAATCCGGCCCGTTTTCTCTTAGCAGACGACACTTTAGGCGCTTCCGAACGTCGCCAGTTATCCCCTCGGGTGGCTGGAGAACTTTATCCGCGACTTTCGTATCGCGAATTCTCCACGGCGTTACTCAACGCTAATCCGTTTTCCTTCAGTCCCCGATCCCTTCGCGCTTCTCTGCGCAATCAGCCCCGTCGTTAGATAATATTCACGCGAAAATCCTGTCGCTCTGGCATTGAACGAAGACACAAAACGAACGGGGAACAAAACTTTCCAGAAGCGATAATCAATTATACATATCGAAGCCGGTTAAGAAAACGGTAGAAATATCAAATATGAGCGAAAAGTACCTCGAGTTTAAATTTGTGTTTTCTTTCCTATTGTTTAGTCAAAACTGTCATAATAATGATAAAACAGCAACGAGTTTTCAAAGTCTTACGTTATATCTATCTCTCATAATAACGAGATATCATTTTTAATTACTAGTGAAATTTTACTCTCGAAGCCCTCTATTAATTTATACAATTTAATATTAATTTTCAATTGCTACTTCCATGCTGATCTAAAAATTGTAATAGTAATGAACTTCTTGTTCTTGTAATGTATAATATTATAAATGACATTATGTATAATATGTATTATCTTTTATGTATTTAAGGTATATGAAACAAATACGCTTCATCGTGATTGCGGCGTATGTAACGGACAAAACTTTGTTCGTAGCGAGTCGCGACAAGTTTCTTTATTAAATTTAGCGAAAGGCTACGAGCAATTTCGACGGGTCTGTTTTATTTGGCGACAAGAAATTCGAGCTCTCACGAAAGGCCGCTAGAATTGGCGAAGTTTGGAACGAACGGGTTACAAGAGCCGGCCATGCTCGTACAATGGGCTCAAGCTAATTTAATTATGAGTCAACGCCATTGACCACCTTTCCAAGACCTTACAATCTGCTCCATTTCCTCAATTTCCTTTCCTTCCGTTCATACGCCCGTGACCAACATTTTGCTTTTAACTTAATTTAGAAGAGATGCAAACTCAATTTAAAAAGATGTGATATAGCCTATCATTTAATAAGGGTACCACCTAATTTTTTTATATAACATGAATTTCAAACTGCGACTTAATTAAATAACTTATAATTAATACATTTTCATCCGCAAAAATAAATCTTTTTTCTAGATGAAGTTAGCAGGTTAATATTCACACACAAAATGGATGAATCAAATAATAAAAAAGGGCGGGGAGGAGAACTACGTTAGAAGCGAGAAAATGTAATGATCCGACGCGACGTATTTGAAATCGCGCTATCGTTCACTCTTGTTTCTGGCCTTTGTTCCTAGTCTATACGGTTTCCATCTGTATCGCGTCGTCGACAAAAATGAAAATTTATCGCGTCAACTCGCGAGAACGAGCGTAAATTCCGAGCGTTTCCTCTTCGCGCTCAGTGGACACGGTAACGCGCCGTTTAGATAGCAATAGCAGGTTTAATCGCGATACTTGTAGCGCGTTTATCTCACTCGATGGTCCATTAAATCCCGTGGCTTCGGATAATATCGAGTTATGGCTGACGAGCCGCGGAATGCGCGCATCAGCGATTCCCCGGCGCATTTCGAATTACACGCCGGAATCGAGGTCGAGACGCGCTTCGTTTTGATTCGACGTTACCAGAATGATCCTTCGTGACTTCGAATCAAGAGGCGCGGCAGCGGTATGCTTTTGCCTTTCGCGATGTTTCGCGAAGGACGTATGTGTAGACACGCGAGGCCCTCGGTGCAGTGGGTCGCGTCCTTGCGGCTAGATCCTCTCTTAAATTTCGAGATTTTACGGTCCGCGAAGTCGAAGCCACCTCGTAAAATATCTGCGGCGATGGAAAGTCGGACAGGATAAGGAGACACAACCCCGGGATAGGGCAAGAGACGCGGCGCATCGGGGACGAGATGTAGCGCCAGTAAAGGGTAGGCAAGAAGAGGAGAAATAGAGAGCCGTAAAGTTATCTTTCAATCTACTCCGAAATCTATCCGTGCTCGGGCGAGGTCGCAAGCAGACAACGCCGTCTCTCTCTCCTGTTTTAAAATTCAGATTCACAACTTTTGCTTAAACGCCTGGTAGATAGACCGGCGACTACATTCCCGTCCTTTCGATTTTTACTTCAAGCACGCAGTGTATTTTGAGTCTCGCAAAACTCGCGCAAAAATGTTCCAACGACTCGCGAGTGCAATTATATTACTGCTATTATAAATTGTGCAATATTACCAGTTGAATTTTGTACGATTGATTTTTCGCTTCGAAAGCTTATTGGTTTATACAAGTAGTATTATCAAGTTACTAAAGCTAATTTCTAAATGAGCGGAAAATGGAAATAACTTCGAACGCAGCTTGCAAGTAAGAAACTTTGAGTCGACTCGATATTGGTGTAGAGAGACGGCGCGGCGGGAAGGCTTGTACATGAAGGTTCGAATCTATTCTAAATTTTCCTTCTCTCCTTCCTCCAAGTAAATTGGCCCCGGCATTAGCGGTCCTCGCCGCGATGCAATTCCGATGGCTATACCTAATACGCCTCGTCCGAGTTACGTAGGCGCGCACCGAGGAAGTTTACCCATTATTGGTCGAGTCCGAGATTACGGATCATGTTGAAGCTTTGCCAATTGATTGCAAGAAATCGCACGTGTAAGTACGTCCGACACGAGCATGTGGCCTCCGCCAAGAATTCGCCGCAGGAGGGAAATAATTGCCGGGGAGTAAGATTTGCCACGATAGCGAGATATAAGCTCGATAGTTAATGTGTTACGGTCGACATACCGATTTCTGTACCAGTAACAAACGATTTTATATTGTTTGCAAGTACATAGATACGTCTTAATGGAAAATAAATGTCGCTGGGAATGGCTGTTGCTTTAAACCAAACGTTGCGGGAATTACAGGGAGAAATAGAGTGATGTAATAAATAACGTGCAACGAGATACTGCACCAATCCCTCGTACACATGTATTAATGTAACCGACCGCTTTTATTATATTAAAATCAATTACGTTAATAATCTGCATTAATTTTGCTGATCGAAATAATTAATGCAACGCGCTGTAAAGATTTATAATGCCTGCGAAATAATAGTGTAAGCTTATGTAACATGTTGTTGCAATTATTTAGGCATTAATTTCGTTGGCAACGATACTTTTTATATCACGAAAAAATTTCTAAAAATCTAATGATTATTAATAAAAAAAATTTCCTTTGATTCAAGTATATTTATATAGACATCTTCAATAAGGCCCGCAGTAATTGCACAACTATATTAAAAAGACGGTAGCGTTTACCTCTGTAAACATATACTATACATCATTCTTTCTCTTTTCCGGATAAAATAGTGTGATCGATAGGGAATACATAGAGTGTCCAGCCAAAACCGTTCGAAGTGTGTCGCAAGAGAATCAACTCGAAAGGTTTATGATTGCCCCGCGCGACGTAGTGCAAACTCTCGTGCGCAGCGGGCAAGAATTTTCGATGGATACAGCGGGTGTGTAAAATGTCCTAGCTGGAGTTTTCTCGGTGCAGAGGTATAGGAGTTCTCGGTTGGAGCCGTGCCGTTCGGGACGGGTCTCGCCGATAAATAAGCTTGACCGTGGGGTGTCATATTTCTTTGTCGCGCCGTTGCGCCAACGCGCTATCTCGCGGTGCACGGCGCGGATATTATTTACGATCCGCCCGGGGGAGATTTATTATGGAATTGATTTCCCGCACGGCCGATCGGATTAATTTTCACTTTCGAGATACGCGCGAGCGCCGATTGGCTGCAATTTGTTTTTGCTTTGCACGAAACAGGACGAACACGCGAAATTCGCCGGTTCTGTTCGGTGTCCTTTCTGCGCGAGTCGACGAGATGAATTTCCGATGAGCGTAATGAAAAACATCTTTGACATGAAAGAATGTTGCAACAAATTGTAACGCGATCCGCCATTGTCTTGAGAATTGTCGCTAAGAACGTGACAAAACATCCCTCAGCAGTTTACGCGATACGCGGTGGGTTGAGAAAAAAATATTAGTATATCAAGAAATAATAATAGCCATATTCCATAGAGAACATATTTTATACAAGTGACAAATGGGAAAAGAAATTTATGTACTTATTTAATTTATTTTCTTATATATCCCATCCTCCTGTACGATGCGACTGGCTTTGAAATAATTTTTGCTGTTGTTGAAGACAGTTGAGAACGACAATGATGCTGGCGACAGACCGCGTCCAAAGTGAAACAAAGACCACCTGTGAACGCGTCATTAAGTCTTCATTCAATAGCCCGACTACTCGGGATAACGCAAGAAAGCGCGTATTTTTGAGAGCTCATTAGTCTAACGAGTACTTAGTCGCGTATTAGATGCAAAAAGCTCTCATTATCGTTCGTCGTCACCAGGAGTCATTTCGGCAAGAACACCCAAGAAGTTCGACGCGGTGTTAGATATCCACGACGTGTAATGCTTAGGAAACCTTAAAAAAGGTGCCTTCGGAGCTACAATTGTCCTTAGCCTCGCGTCTACCGTAGAATATCTCAATTATCTCGATTATGGTTGCTAACATTGATTACGGAATGCAGCTTCGGGACTGTCATTTACTTCGAGTGGGTCGTGACAGCCTTGTGCAGAATGTATATAATAGTCTTCGACAAAGAAAACGGATAACGACGCTTAGATGTACACCAACGACTCGACGCTTATCCCGCAAACGCTTCATCGTTCCTCGCGTAAATACTAGTCGCCTCGTTCATCTTGTCGAGGGACGACGCTGTGCTGAGTCGTCGTCATGTCGTTGGGAGCGAGAGAGCACCGAATAAAGAAAGAAAGAAAGAGAAGGAGAGTGCGAGTAGAGAGTGCAAGGTATGAAGCAGTCCGTTGAATGAAATTTGCAATGGAAATTTAATCTGACTCGATTCGTCCCGCGTAGCCGGCAGTCCTCTCCTTAACGCCAGTCATTGTTATGTTTTGCGGAATTTTCGACAGGGAATTGTGCGCCCCGGGAAAAGAACGCGGCAATATCACGTCGAGCGGCGTCTCTCTTCCTCTTTCTCGCTTCTCAACCAGCTCCCCGTAATTATGTATTCCGCCGAGAGACGATGGGCTTTTCTGAATATCGCAGCCAAGAAATATCGTAGAACGAATCATCATCGTTTAGTCAGACGTAGAAGGAATGCGCACGACGCTTTTATTGTCTTCTTTGATAAAAAAAGTTATTATTCCACTGTGACCGCGTCAGTACAATCGCGTACAGATAAGATAATTTTATAATAAAATTTTGGTTTATGGCACAAGTCTCTCTATATTTGTACCATTAAATTGGAGTTGGATTTGTTTAATTTGGAGTATTTCAACAAGTACAAGATCAGTATAATGATACTCTGGTAAATGATTTACAGCCAGTATAAACAACACCTGATAAATAACTACAAGTCACGTCCTTCAGAAGATTTACTTCAGAAGATGTATCATGCTATAAGAAATAAAAAAATTAATATTAATGTTTAACGGAAGAAAAAATATAGGGAGCATAAAATATTATTTGAAAATCTGCTATAGTATTTATTAGCTACAAAATACGGATGAGCTTCTCGATGAAAATAGATTAATGACAGATAATGTGTACCCTGATATTAAAATTGAACAACATGTCGCGTAACGTCGGAAGTTTTCACTAGTCCGAAGTTCTTTTCTCGTTAAAACTGTCGCGCAATACACTATTTAGATAGCACTCGAGTTGCCTCTCCTCACCGTTTACCGAGCAAGCCACTTAAATATAACATCACCAGTGATTATGCAAAATCCTTTTACCTGGAAAAATCGCGGGAGACGTTTTTCCGTCATCCGACCCAAAACCTACCTAACTCACGCTGGGAGAAGTAAAGGAGACGAGGAGAGGCAAGCAGACTAGTTACTAGTTCAGAGTGGACCTTGTACTTTCGCAACGTGGAACGGAAGCATAGACGTTTTTGGACTTTAATGCGCTTTTATCGCATTGCAAAATAAATTTCCAACTAAAAATGCATTATTAAGAAAAAATTTTGATATGCTTCACAAAATTGTGTGTAGATTCAAAAGTCTTATATCGCCGTTGTACAATCGTGAAGGTACAATTATGTACATTTTTGTCTCATCTCTTGCAATATTCAGTATTTAAAATTTTATATCGCTAACTTAGCTGTTTTTTTTCTTGTCTCTTTCTGTTATTTGTCTTATCAATACAGTAAATAGTTGAATATAAGAGATAACTTGAATTTTGAAATTTCTCACTAATCTCGTTATAGTTGACGTTTATGAAATGATAATATAAACTTTAGATATTTAGCTTCCATTCAAGCAATTACTTGAAACTGTCAACCGCGATTACTTTTTAAATTTTTCTCTCGAAAGAAACAGCACGGAATATCCGCTTTTAAGTGGAGAATGTAAATGCTATTTCTATTCGACAGCAGCACCATCGGTGCTCTTGGGATGCACTTTACCGGACTGGAAAAACGTCAACTTTTCCAGGCGTAGAACTCAATTTGTTCCGTTGGTCCGCAGTCCAAAATATCTTTTCCGTTTTTTGATTTACGATTTAAGTTAAGTGCTTGTAAGCAGCAATTAAAACACGTTATGTTTCGTTGCGCAAAGAGTCATCCTCACTGATTTATTTAACAAGGTCCAAATTTCGACTACTATAAATTACGACTACTATTAATTAAATAAATAAATTAATTAAATTATCTTCCTAGTTTCTTAGCTTTTCTTTGTAAGTTTGTTATTGAAATTTACATATGATAATATTAAGTGAAATGTGTAATTACGTATTTATATTGTGTGAAAAATTTACATTACCGGTTAGTCTATGTATGTAATGCGTAAATTACATGATTATACACACATATAGACGCGTTTTTTGTGTAGGGTATAACATCATTCAAGGTAAACGGACTTCGCTTAGTTATATAATTCCCCAGTAGACTTCTCATCGAGATAGGTCAGTACCGTACGATGAAAAGTAAATTCGGTTTCTGTCTATTAAATATAATAATTATTAATTAGCTTTTGCGTTGCATTTTATTAAGTGTATTATTATTAATTTTTTTAATGCTTATTACATTTTGTTAAAATTCTATCAGATGCAATATATAGATAATTATATATTAATTATAAGTCTTCAATCATTATAAGTACAACAAGTAGTTTTCTAATATAAAACTTTGTAAGATAACACACACACACACACACACACACGATATTTCATATGATTGCGATAATTATATATATATATATATATATATATACTTAACTATATATTTAATTTATAATGTACTTATATATAGTAACACTTAGTTGAATATATCTTGCGTCACAAGATAAAATTAACTTAAGGCTCTTGCCTAGTCAGCCACGAACTCCGCGTTGACGGTGATGATACTATATCGCGGTAGAAATTAGAGGCTTATTTGTCGTATTAGGCTCGTTTTCTAAAGCGATCCCATTTATTAATTTTATCCAAATTCTTTTTATTTAAAAATGGCACACAAGAAACTTTTATGTGTCATTTCTCGCTGTTTTTCGCTTATCACATCATGATTTCAATATGGCCGCGGTGATTAGGCAGGATTCTTAAGAGATTAAACTCTTTTTATTTATGTTAAGGTCGCTAGATAGTCAGTGCTATTTAGACTGTTAAGGTCGCTAGACAGTCAGTGTTATTTAGACTGCGATTAAGTCAATTCAGTGAGTGTCACTCGCACTAAACAGACATATTCAACAGAATATGCAACGAATTGCACATCACACAACTAAAAATGTCCATTGACGAAAATTTCCAGAGATGGAGCAAAAAGGTGATGTCAAAAATCATCGAAAATTTCGGTTCAAACATCGATGAAGTACGATACGAGATAACCGAGCGTACTGACATTTATATGTCCTCTATGTATAATACGTGTGTAAAATTTAAAAATAGAATGACGAGCCAGAATGAGGAACGTTCTATGATACTGAAAAGACCTATGCAGGCAGAAGACTGGAGACGGATGTCCGGCAGCGACGTACAATTTCATAATGAAATTTTATTTTATCGGACATATGCCCGACCGGAGGAGAACTTTCCGAGATGTTTCTACGTTGACGAGAAACCACCTACCGATTCAGTAATTGCTTTGGAGAACGTCAGTAAATTAGGATACTATCCTTATCCATACAAGTACGACGTTCCTTTGGAGTACACATTGGCAGCGATGCGCGAGATAGGACGATTCCACGGCAAAGGATACGTCATGAAGGAGTTACAGAAGGAAAAGTTCTTCGATATTGTGAAGCAGCTACAAGATTCTAGGTACGGGACAAACGACGACTTTAAGATTTTTGTTAATTCTCAGGCAATGCGAGCAGTAGAATATCTTCGCAGGCACGACCATGACGCGGTTTTTTGCGACAAAATGGAAGCTCTACTCTCGAACGCGTTCGACGAAGTGATGATGAAGACGATTAAACCGCTAGAACCTTTGTCCACATTGTGTCACGGCGATTTTACATTGAATAACATTCTCTTCAAAATGGAAGACAATGGGAAACAACGTGCGATGCTGATCGACTTCGCGCTTTGTAGATACTCGACTCCTGTCGTCGATCTTTCCACGTATTTTTGTCTATGTTGCTTTAATGAAGTGACAAAAGACAAGTTCTTCGATATAATGGGAGTTTATTATGACGCGTTGAAAGAGTATTTGTTAGAGGCTGGTGTTTGGAATGTCGAGAAATATTCGTACGATGCTTTGCTCGATGATTACAAAAGAGGTAGTCTCTTTGGTTTCCTTATTGTATCGTTTTTCTTACCAAAATTGATGGGGTTTTTCACTATAGATGGACCACAAATGACAAACATGGGTCCATTAGAATGTTATAAGCTTAACAAGCAGCTTGGCGGAGATAAAATATCCAAGATACTAGCGGACATATTGCTACATTTGAGGGACCTTGGTTTCTTAAAACATTATTTATAAATTTATATATCGCGTATGGATATTTATGTATACATCTACGTGATACACACAATACAGTACGTTTATCAATATCAATAAATTGTAATAATTATAGAATATTTATATAAAAATAATTACACAAAATTAAAAAAATGTCCAATGTTGTAAATGAAGATATTAATATTTTAACATCATGTTATCATATTTTGAACTATATATTTACAATAAATGATTCCGGTTATGCTTTCTATAATTTTACACTCATCGTTTATCTTTGCGATAAAAACTTCCAAAGCGATATCTTGAGTAATAACAAACACAAATATGTGTTGAATCTCTTTCTCTCTTCTCTCTCTCTCTCTCTCTCTCTCTCTCTCTCCCCTCCCTCCCTATATGACGTGCCATCTCTATCTATCTATTACTGTTCATCGTAATCAGTCACCGCTACTCATTATATCTGTATTGCGTGCGCCCTACATAATTAAATATATAATTAAAAATGTAATAATTTTAAAAATTATTATGTATATTCTAATAAATAGTTATACAATTTTTTTGTAAAGTAAATTAAGAGACAATACGATATTTAACATTAGATATAATCATATTATATTCATAATATTAAACTAATTACATTTATAACTTAATATTAAATATCAATATGTTCTATTCAGAAAAATTTAACTTAAAAATATAGTAAAGATATAACAGTTTCTAAAATACATACAAATAAAAATATTATATCTCCCTACTCTTGGTATCGTCTGAATCCTCCTCATGTACACAAGACGTAACTGGTTAAACAATCAAATATCAAAGCCGCAGTATCATTTCTCGCTCGAAATAATCAGTTCGCTCAAACATTTCCTCGTTCTCGCATTTAAAGTTCTTCATTTAAAGTCCAAAACAGTTCTCACATCTCAGCAATAAAATGTCGCATGTTGAAGATAAATGGATAAAAAAGGTAACATCGACAATTATTGAAAATCTCGGATCAAACGTTGATGAAACTCGATATGAATTTTGCGGACTCACCGATTACGTTATGTCTATTCATTATTATATAAATGTAAAGTTTAAGAATAAGAACGGCCACAACGAGGAACTTTCTATAATACTGAAAAGACCGACGCAGTTGGAAAACATTAGACTGCTGCATGAAATCGATTTTCAGTTTCATAATGAGATCTTGTTTTACCAAATGTACGTTCAGCCTGGTGAAAATTTTGCAAAATGCTTCTACGCCAACGAACAATCGTCTATCGATATGATGATCGCCTTGGAGAACGTCAATAAACGAGGATACTGTCCTTGTCCATACAGGTATGACCCTCCTCTGGAATATACATTGGCGGCATTTCGTGAGATGGGACAATTCCACGGTAAAGGATATGTCATGAAGGAGCTGCAGCGTGAAAAATTCTTCGATATTGTGAAACGAATTCGAAAAACTAGATGCGACACAACATATGGATACGACATTTTCATTAATATAATTGCACCGCGAGCGGTGGAATATCTTCGCAATCATGGTCACGATGTAACCTTTTGCGATAAAATGGAAGCTCTACTCTCGAACGCGTTCGACGAAGTGATGATGAAGACGATTAAACCGCTAGAACCTTTGTCCACGTTATGTCACGGCGACTTCACATTGAGCAATGTTCTCTTCAAAACGGAAAATGGCAGACACGACGCAATACTGATCGACTTCGCACTTTGCACATACTCAACTCCCGTCGTCGATCTATCCACATATCTTTGTTTGTGCTGCCCGAATGAACTGAAGGGAGATAAATTCTTCGGGATAATGCGAGTCTATCACGATGCACTGAAAAATTATCTGTTAGATGCTGGCATTTCGGACATCGAGAAATATTCGTACGAAGCTTTGTTGGATGATTTTAGAAGAGGTGCTCTCTTCGGTTTCGTCATCACATCTTTCTTTTTATCGATGTTAAGGGGGTGCGATGTAGAATCTCGACAAACCATGGCAACCATGGAGTATGAAGAGAGAGGGAAGTTGTTGAGGCACTATGGCGGAGACGAAATATCCAAGATATTAGCCAACACGCTATTGCATTTGAAGGATCTTGGTTGTTTGAACTATTTTTAATAACAATGCGGTATTATTCCGAGACACGTAGATATGCATAGATCATTATTAATCAATAATTATGAAATATAATTATAAATTGTAAACAAATAAAAATATATTATTATTAATAGATAAGTTGATATGTTTACTTAATAAATAAGTTATGAGATATTAAAAATGTTGCTAATTTATTAAAAATCATGCAACAATCTTTCTGTGAAGAAAAATTACCCAATCTTAAAAAGATAAGATAAATAGAACTTAAAAAAATAAAAATTTTGTTTTATGTCATTTAATTGCGTTATTAATTAAATTTTATTATTAAATTTTAATTAATCGTAGAATACTGTTTCAACACTTATGTATCATCGTCCGTAATGATATATACCATCAAAAATAACAGTCTGTCAAAATATTAAAATACATTATTTCGCGTATATATGTTTATATGTAATGTAATTTAAATAAAATCTTTTCAACAAGCAAAATACGAAATATTTGTAAAGACTCCAGCTATATAAATATGTCAAAACAAGAGAATCAAGTTCTCAAAACTTTTAGATAGCAGTAACTTTTTAAATGCTAACTTTTTAATTGCTAATATTACAAAGGTTTTATAAAGCATCAAACATTCGCTAAAATTGTCACGCTTCCATTACATTCTTCGTTAATCTCATGTTACGAACCAACAAAAGGTTTCGTTCTTTTACATTGAGTCATTCAGTTTCCACAGTCATTCGTTACTCTTCGCACGATTCCGTATTTCATCTACTTTCTTCCAGCTTCCTTCGAGTGGCCGCGTATTGTTCGCGAAAGCATCTTTCGTGACCTCGTTTTTTTTTACACCTATTCGAACGCCAAAGAAGAGAGACGGAGATGAACCGTTTAATCCTCCGGAGTGAAGCGCATAAAAAGACATTCGTCTCTTATTTTAAAGTATTTTATCATTTCCTGAACTCACTTAAAAATAGAATAGAGATAAGCTGTTAGATAATGATACATCAACTACTTTATCTGATGTGCTGTCACGTAGAAATAAAGTTCTTTCAAATTAGATAATAATCTGATTGCGTTTTATTACATGCTTTGTTTTAATATATTTTTTAACGCAATTTATTGTAAAATATATTTCAGAAATTAATTGCTGAGCATAATAGTAATAATACTACAATAACGTAATCAGCAATTTTGCTGAATTTTACTGAATTTTGCGAAGATATTGTAATAATAAAATAAAATCGATGTATCTCTCAAAATTTTATATACCGTCCAATTGTCTAATTTCATATTTTTAGTATTATTTCTAATATTATTTTTTAGCATTATTTTGAAGATTATTTCGTAACATATTACATTTTTTAATCTTTATATATATATGCGCTCATCCTCTATATATATAATACAATAATTTCAATCGACAAATTGTAATTATTAATCTTCCAGATACGGTTATGAATCAATATTACATGCACTCTGTGTTTCCTCGCTTTGATACGTGACTGCTGCAATATCATACTTCGTTAATAGGTGACTCCCACTTTTGACATCATACTTGCACTCTTCACAAGGTTACATCAGCCCACTTATAGTCTCTAGAGATTAGTCAGAGTGACTTTCAGAATGGCAGTCACAGTATAATTCGAGCTCGTGTGTGCAGTGTCTTGTATCTGCAAAACTATTCTTCGAACGTAACGATTTACACGTACCGCTAGTAAAATGTCCGACACTGAAAACTTGAAGAAACAGAATAAAGAGGTAATATCGAAAATTTTGGAGAATCTCGGGCAGAATGCCGACGAAGCTCAATACGAGATAACCAAACAAAGCGACGTTTTTATGTCTACCATTGATTATATACGCGTGAAGTTTAAGAATAGGACAAAGAATCAAAGTGAAGAATTTTCTATAGTACTAAAGAGACCCATACGGATAGAAATCTTGAGAGAGATAATCCGCAGCGACTTTCAATTTCATAACGAACTATTATTCTACCGGATGTATGCCCAATCTAATGAGAACTTTCCGAAATGCTTCTACTTGGATGAACGACCGCCCATCGATTCCGTGATCGCTCTGGAAAACGTCAATGAACGAGGATATTATTCTTGTCCATATAAGCACAGTGCTCCTTTAGAATACACATTGGCAGTGATGCGCGAGATCGGACGATTCCATGGCAAAGGGTATGTGATGAAGGAATTGCAGCAGGAAAAATTTTTCGCTATCGTAGAACAGATTAAAGAAACTAGATATAACAGAACGAAAGAAAACAGTTTCATAGATTTTATTAACTTGATCGCAACGCGAGCAGTGGAATATCTTCGCAATCAGGGTTACGACACAGCCTTCTGCGATAAAACAGAAGCCTTGCTCTCGAAAGCGTTTGACGAAGTGATGATAAAGACGGTGGAGCCGCGAGAGCCATTGTCCACACTGTGTCACGGTGATTTAACATTGAGCAATGCTCTCTTCAAGACAGAAAACGATGGGCAGTACCGAGCGATGCTGATTGACTTCGCGCTTTTGAGATACTCGACTCCCGTCGTCGATCTTTCTACGTATCTCTGTCTCGCTTGCTCAAATGAAATAATGAAAGATAAGTTCTTTGAGATTATACGAGCCTACCATGACGCACTGAAAAATTATCTGTTAGATGCTGGCATTACGGACATCGAGAAATATTCGTATGACGCTTTGTTGGACGATTACAAGAGAGGTTGTCTTTTTGGTTTTGTTATTGCATCCTATTTCTCACCAGTATTAATGGGATATGCTGACGATACTATAGAACAGGATATAGAAGGGTTAACAAGTGGAAAGTTCATCGAACAGGCAAGACAGAGAAAACAAGAGGGCGGAGATGAAATGTCCAAGATATTAGCTGATATGTTGCTATATTTGACAGATCTTGGTTGTTTAAAATATTTTTTGTAATGAGACAGTTCATAATATATAATGCTAGATTAATTATTAATTAATAATTATAAAGTATAGATTAAATAAATTTAAATAGTAACTATAAATATTATTATAATAATATATGTACAATAGATATAAAAAATTATTCTGTAGTATATTCTATGATTTCTATATTGTGTTATATAGCGATAGTATTTCTAATTCAGTTTTATTGTAACTCGATTTTTATAACAATATTAATAATAGTTTGATAACATTATCTTTTTATATTCATTTTCAATTACATAACACGTGCTTTAACTGTAAATCATCATTAATAATTAAATTAACTGATAAAATAATTATATAAAAAAATATATATATCTCAATATATATATATATCAATAGATTTAGCAATAAGTATTAGCAATTGCGAATACATCAAGATATCTTTAAGTGATCATGTGTCAGGAACATATAATATAAGTATAAAAGAGCTTTAGCGATTCTGGATGGATTGTTAACATTATTTCGTGAGATTATACTACTTCTATAGCGGCATAATTTAAAATCACGAACAGGTACTTCGCACGAATTTCCTTCAAACCAACAGATTAGTTTGTCACGAATAGATTAATATTTTTTGCTTAATGAATGTGCATTCAAAACTTTTTCTGTTATTAAATAAAAATGTGAAACTTTTTATGTAAGAAAAGAATTATATTCCTTTACGTCATCGATAAACAAATCGCATAAAAATTCATACAAAGTGCGAGTCGTGATTTCAAATTATATCATTGTACTACGAGGTCACAAAATATTGTTCACGATCATTAGTTCTTTATTTATGTTATTATGCTGTATATTATATTATTTGAGTTATATAACTTATATATTTGCTTTTTCAACTGTCAGATTTAGTTAAGCAATTTTCAATAACGTAAGCAAAAAAGGAAAACATTATTTGATCTTACGAATCAATGTGTGTTTGAAACAGAAAAGAAAAATAATTTAATTTTATTTTGTCTATGTATACGCACATACATATCTTATATATTCTATATTTTTGTATATCCAGGAGTGTAACTTTTATTAAATTTACTGTTTAAAATAAGCAGTTCGGTAAAATAACCGAATACGGTTAGCGGATTTAGTACATATATATCGCGAAAATGAAACAACGTGAATAAGGAGCGGGTTGAAACTGGATCCCGCTTATATACGTATGCGTGACACTCAAAACAGGCGCGGTATTGCGGTAGTGCCCCGTGCACATTGGTGAAATTATTCTTTCGTCCGTGCAAGTCCGGATCTGCCTTTCAAATAAAGAAGCACCCGTACGCTCAGAATAACTTTGTCATTTCCATATATTTTTCCAAGCTAGCGGCAACGTTTATCACGAAGCTAACTTACGCCCGAGGTTCATGTACAGTCAAATTTCCTTCTGTATTAGTATAAAAAGTATTAAACTGGCGATTCAGAGAGCAGCATAGTACTACAAGTCATATTTTATGACAGATCCGTAATTATACTGCGTATCTCAAAAAAATATTATTGTACGTTACAAGAATAAAAAGTAAAGAATCCATTTTATAGATAGTATTACATTTATCGCTGTTATTTCTACAAGTTGCGTAACGTTGCAAACATAGTTGTGTAATACTCTTGCTACGAAAACAGAGTTTTAACTATGATCAGACGCAAAATGAATCACTCAATATTTTGTAATATTTATACGATATATAAGTCATAACTGAAAATTTTAATATTTCAAAATATATATTTAAAATAATTAGTGTAACACTATCAAAAATTAGAAATATATATCGTATTTGGAAAATTATTAAAAGTGAAAATTGAAAGTTTATGAAAACATTTTAAAGTTAAGTATGTCTAATTACATACATCTGTGTATGTGTGTAATTCTTATCTTATTAAAAAAATTTTAAAGTTTTTGAATTAAATATTTTTAATGAGCATTACTTCAATTATTAAAATGAATAAGCGATTTATATGTAGGTATGTACGTACTAATCTGTAATAAAGATATCATTTTAATTTAGAATTTGTGTTCTTAATTAATAAATACTACATCGTTAATTCTCATTTGTGAGTAGCTCGTACTGCTATAACACAATAAATATAATGTAGTATTTTTGTGTTCGCATCATAAATTCCAAGATCAAAATGTAGTCATATAAATTTATTTATAATACATATATTTCAGAAAATATCTAATATTATCTAAGAAGTACTATTTTTATAACCTTGATTTAAGGTAAGAGAAGTTTTACTATTTGAACGAGAGCATTCACAACCTCATTATATTTTATTTAACCATACAACAGATTAAACATTCTGGTGGAAAACGCTTCGTCGATTGCTTCGAGCGAACAACGCCGTTACAGCAGTTCGAGAAGCCACCAATCGCCAACGTTAGCGCTCTCTTGTCGTCTTCCGCATAGTTGTTGAAGCGTTGCCCGGGATAAGTTTGATCGTTAAGGCCAAAGAATGCGACACCGTATACATCGCCTAGTGCGAAACTTTTCGAGAGCCGCCCGGAGCGAGTTTAACAATTGTCGAACTCGCCGAATAGATGCGATATTGGGAAAAACAGGCGGGGTACATATCTTGCGATGAAAAGACGTAGAAAGAGGGAGAGGGAAGAGAGAAAGAGAGAGAGAGATGAGTGAGGCGGAAAAACACAAGGAAAAAAAACGACAAAAGGGTTAGAGAAAATCGGAGTAAGAAGCAAGCTGGAACAAGAATGAAGTACGAAACGTGCTAGAACACTTTAATCGGACTGCAGTTACGAGTTCGAGTAGAGGCACTGTGCCACCACTGAGTTCCTCGATAGTCTTCTATCGATGGAGCTCGAGGATGAGAACGTTGCCACTCTGTAACGCTTCTCGAAGAAAGTGATTCCCATAAACAATCGTTTGTCGCTTTTCTGCTTTCGTCTGAGAATAAATTAGAAGCTAGTATTTCCCAGTCTTGTTAATTGATTAATAACAATTGTGCATAGGTGGCAAAATATTGTAGATTGATAACACAAATTGAAAATTTTTCATATTCATTTTTATATTCCTCAATATATCCGGATTAATGTTTTATTATTAAAATGATTCTTTATTTGTCTGACGCGTGAAACATATCTCCGAAATTCGAAAATTAATGATAAACCGAGAAGCAATTATCTGTAATTAAATTTTTCAATTAGAAGAAAAATAATAATTTTTAATTATTATTTAGATTACTGTATAAATGAAAACAAAATATTTGTTAGTTTTTCGTATGATCGATTAATTACTACGTACGATTTGTTTTTTCAAAATCGAATACATCTATACTTGTATCAAAAAGACAAACGTCCTTATTCAGTATCAATAATATGAATGTGTGTTCTTATTCAGAAAATTTTCACCCGAACGATTTTATCTCGGGACATCGATCTCGATATCTAACCAAATCAAAATATTTATAGGTCGATACTACCGATCCCTATTGATACAAAACAGTTTCAAGAGAGATCGGATGTTTTGACAATACCGACCTGATCTTGACAACCGGAGACAAATAAGGAATAAATAAGGAAATTTGATAAATAAATTCATTTCGTAACATCGCAAATATAGACGTACTGTGAGAATTCGATTTTGATTCTCTATATAATAAATTAAGGTGTTTCAGATATGTTATATTTGTTTGTTGTTATTCATTTTGGAATTACTAAATAATACGTGATATTCCGAATCATCAGCACTAGATTCAAACGTTACTCGAATAAATGGGCAAATAGATACATATATAGATACGCGCACATTTATTTGAAGTTCCGATAAATTATTCGAAATACGGATATTCTCGACAAATACGTCCGCGCGAGAGCGACAGAAACTATTCGATTCGTTCCGATAATCAAGCGAGTAGTCGAGCAGGATGAATAAATCCATCCCACTACCCGCATTCCGAAAGGAGTATCCCGCGGGAATACTGTGGCGGTTTACCTTCGGTTCTCGTATTTGTCTCGCGAAGGAGGTACTTTCCATTGCCTACAGCGACCTAACAGTTGCTTCGATAGTTCGTCGAACTATTTCAGAATATTCCGTTATAATTTTCTTATACAATGATTGACATTATTCGAAGAAATCCTCGCGCTCATCTTTCATCCTTGTATGATCGATTTTTATTAACACCGATTCTTCAAATGTACACGATCGACACTCCAAAAAAATCAGAATTTCACGAGGAACTGCTTTTTCGATGCGAACCAGCTTTTGCTTCGATAAATGATCTCTTTCGTAAAACGTAAAAATGACACTCTGGACATCGCATTTGTCCGCGGATGTTGTCGTTGTTCTCACTTCCGGTCGCGTATACGCGTCTATCCGATATTCAGATTCCCGATTATATGATCGACTATAGATACATGAGCCAACGGAAAGAACTGGAAAACGGGAGACGGAAGGAAGATAGGAAGATAGCAAAGAAGCGACGCGAAAGAGGGAGAAGGCAGACAAGTGCGAATAGAATCTTGAACGGAGGGCCGAACGTCGCCGGGAGGATATGGGGACTGTGAGGGCGAGAAGTATGCAAATGCGAGAGTACATTTATCTCGGCACCACGCCCATGTATTTCCTGGGAGCTTCCGGACGCATTGTCGGGGACGAATCGAATACCCACAGCCCCCCCGCGACACCCAGCCGTCGGCGAGCACACGCGCATCCACACACGCACGCATACGTGCGGCGCGGTAGTCTGTATGCGTATGTGCCACCGGTCCGATACTCCAGAGATTTACGAGCAAACTAGCCTGGTCCCCAGGGCTAATAGACCGGCAAGTTATGGGCCAATTCAATTTAATTTCGAAAATAAACAACCACCATTGGCGACGTCGGTCAATTTATTCCGAGGTCTCGCGAGCCGGCCGCGATGCGGCTGTACTCGGACATCGCCGGGGTGTGGGCCTCGCATATATAGTCGGAAAGTTTCCCGGTCACCCACTTCATCATACAGCCAACGTTAAGCTTACTGAGAACCCTCATAAGCTGGTACGTCAAGTTACCGCCCAGATTTTCGCCGCGATAATAA